ACGATTCTCTCATACATCACCGTCCTGGATTGAACACAGGATTGATTGTGCGTGTGCGCGCCAGCTTCCTCACTCACTTACCACAAGATGCAAAATCACTTGTTTAAAGAGAAAATACCGTTATTTACAATAAACTATCCATATGGATGACATCCCTGGGCTGAGATTTCAGTCTTCTTGCACACAGTCAAGTGAAGTGAGTCCGTCAGTGCGTGAGTAGCCTGCACGTCCTCCCGAAAGGCCACAAAGCTACAACCTCTGCATTTGTCTACATCGCAGCTCTCAGCGACGGTACCGTACTGGGCAAAGTGTCGCCGCAACTGACGCTCTCTGTCGCTTGAAAGCAGTCCACCTACGTACAACTTGATCCGCATTTTCGTGTCATGGTGGTGATGGGCGAGGTGATGTGTCTGCTTCGACGCACAAACCAGTAAACACTTAAACTCTTTCTACTCTCCCCTCGTGTAGGCCCCGTCGTCTTCACCTTCGTGCACTCCTCACCATATCCTGTGACCAATACATACTGTTAACATAAATCTTAGGGACAAGAGGAGACCCCAACCACCTTGCACACACCGCCGCCTTCTGCTTCCTGAAAAGTGTGGTGAGTGCACAAGTAAAATTGCCATGTCTCACCTACCCTTGTTATTCAATGCTGCATCGAGTGGAGGGTCATGGCGACTGTGGAAGCGACACCAATTCGTCAAGCACGACAAGACTGCAGTCTTTCAGTTGTTGGTTAATCTAGGCAAAGGGAGAATCAAGTCTCCATCAGGTGTAATTCACCTTCACCAATGTTGTTACATGCCTAAGTGGTGCAATGCAAAGCACTACCTTCATCGAATCCCACATTATGCATTACTTGGCCTTCAGATGGAATATGCCATTCTGATTGGGAGGCTGGTGACTGATATTTAGATGTCAAAAGTTCCACAATTTCTACACACATCGTCTCCTACCTTGCGCTTCACACCACGACGACGACATCATCTCTTGCAGGAATGTACCCTCCATCCGACATTCCACTGATGTGTCACCAAATCGATGACCTCAATCGCAACATCGCAGGTATGCCCACTTGTCGTCAACACTTACTGTGCACCGACTGCCTTATCACGGCTTCTGGTTGGGGACTGCACCTACTGTCTCATCAACTTCTCTTCCTCTGATAGGAAACAGCCACTTTTCCACAGTGACAGTGCAGTTAAACTGATGCGTAGACACCGACGATACGCTTAGCGTACAGACGGACACGAATTCTGCTGACTTTACAATATTTTTGAGGGTTCGGTAGCTAAAATCACACACCTTCACCCTTTTCTCACTCTTTATTAGCCGATCTTACCGAAAGGAAGGGTAGGGTACTCTAAATCAACAAAATCTCTCCGACGCCTTCATTCCATTGACTCTGTATTGTGAAATGGTGACGACAAGAGCAGAAAAATACGAATGCTTTCAATAAAATCCCATCTTTCGAAGCGCATTTACACACGCAAATGCGCGTTTATTAACTCACCTCACTGACTCGATCTGACAGACGCATCTGAGTTATGGGGAGAGGCGGTAGATTTTTTATCATCGTCTTCAATTCCGCGGCTTTATTAAGGAGGCTCTTTAGATGTTGCCACTTGGCAACCGCCTTTTGCAAAGTCTACACCAATAAAGAAACCCGAAAAAGTATTAACAGAGGGATGCAGAAGGGGAGGGGATAAAGGATGAAGACGAAAAGGAGGGAGAGGACAGGGGCAATTGCAACACCTAGTACACCAAGCATTGTCACTCACTTTTGTCCCTTTCAACAAATTGCTGACATCATGTGCCTTGCCCACCTCGATTGAAAGTTCTGTGATGCGATGGACGAGTTCGTCTATGGTTTGCGTGCCCTCCAAATCCACCGCCTTCACTTTCGCTATTGCGGCGTATAACGCTTTGCTCGCAACCGTATGCAATTCAGACACCGCCTCCTCCATGGCACCAGCAATTCCGCCCCTCGAATTCTTCACCATCCCATTCAACCGCTCCGGACGCATCCTTAAGCTGGCTTTTTGGCAGGACAGGTAATTCAAATTCATATGCAGAACAAGTCTGTACTGTGTGCAGAAAAGGAAGGCAGGCAATCAGACAGACGGAACTGCAGTTGGTAGGTCCAATACCATTCCTGCGGTCACCCACACTTTATCAAATTCCAGCTGCATTTCAGTTGCCTATTTCGAGAGTTTAAATGTTACAATGGAGACATTCATGTCGCCTTCTTCAATACAAACTACCGCGTATGCATAAATGTCATAGCAGCCTGTCGAATTCAAGTCTGAGCAACATGTCATGGAACACTCAGAGGCCTGTGTTAAGGCACTCGTCGCTCAATTTACAAGGTAAATGGGTGACTTGCATTACAATGTACAAAATTAACGATGCTTACACTTTCCCGATGTTTGTCAAGGCACTGCACACAGACCTGACGTTGGCAATGATGGCAATGGACCAGCAGCTCGGGTTGTATTTGTCCCTTACAGGCGCTACAGCATTGGTCAGTCAAATTCCCCTCACAGCCCACTCTCCCCTTCCCTATTGGCTGCTTCTGCGTCTGCTCCTGCTCCTGTTGCGATGAGTGGAGATGGGTCCGCAACTCGACGTATTTGTTGGGACGCATTTTTTTTGCGTCAAACTCCTCCTTGCAGTATATACAACGCACTGTCTCGGCCCCGGCCTGCGACAGCAGACAAGGCTGCCGGCAAAAAGTATGTCCGCATGGTAGACTGTGGGGCTCACGCATCCTGCTCGGCACAAAAGATTAGGCAAAAAACCTACGTATTATTTCCTTCCAACTGGGCCATTTCACTTCACCACTCCTGTCTACATATTTGGCGTGCTTTTCGCCTACGACGTTTCGGTACCTTAATACTCAACATCGCTAACCTTATTTAAACGACAAATTTATCTATGTCAATCTAGCGGGGTGGTTGGGTGAATTAAAAATTTACTGAAGCAAAGGACGCGTATCCATTTTAAAATTGAACTCGTAGTTACTTTACTTTCCCGCATCACATCAGTGTCACAGAGAAAGCAAATTCTATGCAAAAACTCACGATTCATGGCACACTCCACAAAGGAGACCCTCGCCTGCCGAAGCCATCGTTTCACTGCACCTTCACACGATTCACTGAGCGTGTGCGTGCCACATTACAAATCTAACCTCAACGGAAATCACTTTTAGCAAATGCATTGGTCAATTTGTATGGCGGCAGTGGCGGCGGTGCTACCAGTCAATATGAGGCGTTACTGTCGTTGAGGCAGTGCAGATGCGCTCGCAGTGTCAGCTGCGCCTGACGCTTGACGTGTGCGATTTGTGAAATTAGGGCCCCGCCAACCAAGCAATCTCACAGTATGATAGACGGCTACACTAAACTCGAGTAGAACCCTCAACATCGCCAGCTGGAGAGGAATAGGGTGTGTGGGCCGAGTGCGGCTCGTCTCTTGTGTAGATTGCCTGCTGTCCTGACTGTGTTTTGTTATGGATTACGCGCTGTAAAATAGCCTTCATCGGCCAGAAAGTTACCCCCTACTTTGTAAAAGCGTTCAATTTATTTTTTACCCCTTTATAGCCAAAACAACATACAGGTGCAACAACATGGGAGAAAGTGTGAATGCAACCAAGCATCTTCTTTCTGTGGAGTAACTCATGAGAATGGATTACTGGAAATTTGTAGAAGGGTATAACTAGGTAGGCATTATCAGGACTAACCTTTCCACTTTCCGACGATGATATATGAGAGGATTGC